GGGTCTGTCCGGACTCCGCTCACGCCTCCATTCAACAACAGTCCCGGGGTTAAAGTGTTGCAGTGCGGCCATGTACCTAGGCAGATTTGAAAAAGACTTATCCCAGTTGCCATAAATAAGTTCAATGGCACGTTTGCGACCGAGATATGCCTTTCTTTTGGTTATAGTACAACCATACTCCTGGTANTAAAACGCATTATTATACTGTGTTTTACAAATATATCTTAGTAAAACGCAGTATAGTACTGCGAATTACAATTTTTTTTTAAGTAAAACACAGTACTATACTGCGAATTACTTTAACGGTAAAATTTCCGTTAAAGTAATTCGCAGTATAATACTGCGTTTTACTCATTTATGTAACTTTTTTTTATAGTACAAAAGTGTTTTTTGTCCAAAAAATGATTAAAAAAGCTTCGGACTCGGCACAATTGCATATTCATAGTTTTGACTGTTGCTCAGGCCGTGCATGAAATGCTAAAACTATAAAATGCAGTCAATACAGCCAATGCTCTTTAAAAGGTGTCACATATTTGAATATAAAGGCCTTGAAATAACATGAGGCAATAGCTATAAATAGCATTATTAGGGTTAGTGGTTACATATTGCTTTATCGCACCCAATTTACTAGGCTGGCACTGTAGCATAATGCTGAAGGAGAGACGTTCTTTTTTGCATATTTATCAATAGGAAGATGCTTTTGGTGTGTGTAAATGGAATGTGAATCCATCTTCAGTTTAGTGCTATTGGTTTCATTTGGAGCCTTTTTATTGCTTTTGTTTTATGATTTGGTAGAGGTAGAGGCTTTACAGTGATAGAGATATACAAACTTACATTCAAGAAAACTGATTTAAAGCAAACTTAGCTACTGTGTGTACTGATTTATTTGAAGTTATCAAAACCAGTTCTCTTTTACCAGATGTGAAATGTGTTGGATTCTTAGTTAAGACTTTTGTTTCAATGGTCATAATTTTAAGAAGATGTAGTTTGAAAGAAATATTCTGGAAACATGTTGGGAACTTAAGATTCAATTATGCATTCAAACAAGGTATTTTTATTCTATTAATCATACTTGATAGGGTAGGTAAATAAATGGTATATTCAACAGTCTACATCGTACCCTCATCTTGTTCCCTTCTTAATTACTTTCACCATATAGCTGATTGGGAAAATTGACATTTGATTTGTAAATCGATCGTGATTGCCAACCGTCTGGAATGATATTTGGGGCAGTGACACTTTGCTTTGTTTCTGAAGTAAGTCTAAGGGAAAAAGGAGGCTTATGTGTATCTGGTTGTATGCCAACACTCCAAGTTGCCCCAATCATTCGCTGCATTGGCATCCAACTCGAATTGCTTGTTTGGATTTCAACTAAAGAAAGGTCACCATCTCTATCTACTGCTTCAGATGTAACTGCGAAGAAATTAGGATTGGAGCCTTTGTCCACCTTAAATAAGATGTTTGTGTTGTAATTGCATGCTACCCTGTAAGGTCCAACAAACAAATAAAAGAAATTAATACATTAGCGATGTTCCTGGAAAGGAAAATAAGAAATAAAAATCAATTTACTGCTTCCTTCGTCCTATTTATGTGAAGGTGTTATTTGGAGTACATATGTAGGGTCAATACACCTTTCGTCGTACTTTTTTTTGATAAAATCATAGACAAAGATTAAACTATTTGACTCCCACCCCTACCCTCAAATAATAAAATCTTCGTATAAAATGGAATAAAGAAATTATCTTTATTTTTTATGGAACAACTCACCTTTGGTAAAAAATTGAGATTCTTCCTGCATTATAGTGAAGCTTCACCAGACTTTGCCAATTTTCCAAAGGCAATTCCACTTATATCAAAGTGAACCGGATCATTATTGCATGCTCCAGGGCACTCATCTGTAAGGGTTACTGTTATTGAATTCCCTGAACAATGCGAATTTTGGTCTTGGGTGCACAATACCTGAAAAACAATGTCTACATTATAGATATGTCATGCATTTATGCATGAAACTAAAATATTCATGCACATTGTCGCTTTTGTTTTAGAGTTTCATTTGCTTGTCATCTCATGAAAAATAAGGTACGTTTATTCTCAAATTATAGATTTATCAGATCAGTAGCGGAATCAAAAATTCTATCAAGTGGATTCGAAAAGATCTAAAAAAATTATATTTGTACCTATTTTTTCTCTTATAAGGAGATTTGAAAATTTATATATTTTAAATTTATTTTTACCTAATTTACGTTATATAACTTTCTAACAAAGAAAATTCAATTGAATCATATAAATTATGTTTACCTGGTAGCATGCACCACATCCAGAGCCTTGCTTAAAAAGAGCTTGATTTCCGGCCGTGATCATTGCATTGTAGGGAGCACTTGCTATGTCATTTTCGAGCCCACATGCTCCACCTAGAATAGAATAGTAAGAGTAATATATGTTTTTAGTGAAATTCATATAGCCAATAACTGAACTATTAAAATTTACCTTCAAAGTTGTATTTGAAATCTAAAACAAGTTTAATTTAATTTTAATCTAGTAGGCATACTACATAAGTCTATATAAAATAAAATAAAAAGAGTACAAACAAACAACATTTCAAGACATTACCACTCCCAGGACTAGTAGAATTTTCATAAAAGGTTGCAACGGCTGGTGAATATCCGCTTTGTTGGCAAGAGGAAAATCTAATCAAATACGAGCAAAAAGCTACAAAAATCCAAAGGAAAAGACACTGAGGAAAATTTGTAGCCATGGCCTAGTAATTGTCTTTGATTAACTAAAGATGCTCTAATATTTTTACTAATTGCTTATGCAATGTCATGTTACTTGGCACTATTTATAGTAAAAAATGAATATTAGTTAGTTGAGGATATTAATTATGAATAATGAATTATTTTGCAAAAAAAAATATTAATTATGAATAATGAACCATTTTGCCAATTTAAGGTAAGAACTTTATTGCCTCACTATTTAGTTTGTAGATTTATAATGCAGGATTATAAAGCATGGCGGCAATTGAAAGATTACTACATCTCATGATCATGATTCTCATCATCTCTTTAATTCCTTTATTTCTTTTTGTCATATGCCAACTAAACACCATATGATTCGAGGTCTCTACAATCATAGAACAAGAGTCGAAATGCATAACAACTAACTATAAGTTGAGAAGATCAAAATATATATATATATATATATGGCTTGGTTTTTTCAAATGATTAAACTTTTTTCATAAAAAGTATTTTTTGCCGTGATAAACCTCAATCTTTTCTTTTACAACAAGCATTGATACCTTTATATAACAAATTTGTTTATGAGTTATGAGCATGTAACTTGATAGGGTTCCTCTGAGAAAATGATACACTGCAAATTAGTACAAAACACATACATATGAAATATTGTACAATGTAATTTTGGAAAATCATACACGCGTCCATTATAAATTATTTGAAGCTAAAACTGATCTGAGCTCGATCGTAACCTTAAAATCATGTACACACTTGTTCCCACATATATAGGACTGCCCAATAAGGTATTAAAAATTTTCTCGCAATTTTCTAACCAATTGATATGTTAAATTTAGTCAAAATGCGCATTTAAAGGGTAAAGTCTGCTTATCTCAAGTCCTTAGCTTAGACTTGGCTACAACATCGCAAACCTGTCAACAAGTGTCAATCTATATAATTAGGGATCGTTCAATTAAACAAGTGTCAACCAATATAGTGTTTGATTAGTGTAAACGAATAATTAGTTCCAACATAACATTCCCCATAATAGTACTAAATAATATCCATATTGAATTTATGTGAAAATCTAGAATGTGGAATAAGAGTACATGTATTAACAATAAGATTTAACTATTTAATAATAATTGTATGTCAAACTTATGTCGCGCGATAATACTGGTTAAATGTACAANAGAGAGAGAAAGAGAGAGAGAGAATTTTTACAATATGAATGCACTACTAAAGAAAGAAGAACAAAAAGTACTAAGTGAAAATTAATCTGTATCCCTCTAAGTAAATAACTCAACATTTAATCAAGTGCACCATTCAACATCATTGAAGTATGGGGGCTAGCTAGCAAATAATATTAGATCAATTCTAGAAAATATATACATAAAACACATAGTTTAGCACAAAGACCACGAGTTCACGTACACCACATTTTAAATCATAAATCCACCTCTATATGTATAAGTAATAGTACTACCTATTATGTAATTAAGAAAATAACTCAATGAGTTTTTTGAGTACTTACCACAATTCTAAGAAATTTGAGAAAAATGCTTTAATACAGTAATCCATCTTTATTTGAAAGGATGATATAATTAATCTTGAAATAACTAATCTCGAAATATGATGGGATAACTCGTTTCACAATCAAACGAATCCTTAAAGTGTAAGAGGTCACATGCACTGTCTATCTTTCCTCTTTCTTCTACTTGGTGTATCTTTTTATTTTATTCTTTAATTTTGACAATATCGACTATAGTTCTTTTTTATATTGTTTTATGAAGTTTCTATGGAAAAGATTACCATTTCCTATTGCAGGAGGCAGGACCACACATTTCATAATCTAATGGCAAATCAATTTTGAAAAAGAAAATGAACCTGCTTTGGTCAATTAGTGAATTTTCTACCATTAGGGGTCGTTTGGTATGAGGTATAAAGGTGGTATTAAATCTCTGTTTGGTTAGCAAATCAGGTATAAGTTATTTCGGTGTTAATTTTAACACTGGAGTAACTTATACCTTATAGAAGGTGAGGTAATTAGCGCCAGTATAACTTATATTTTCTTCTTAGAAATTATGCAATTGTCATTCTTAATACAACATATTAAACAATGAATAAACAACAATCCCAGCATAACTTATCCCAATATAACTTATACTGGCATAACTTATACCGATATAAATCATATTCCAACCAAACGATCTCTTACTGTTTATCCCTCTAGCAAACATTAGGTGGGGGAATGGCAATAAAGGAAGGAAGGTAATGTACAAATAATAACATCGATATCACGCGGCCCAAATTAAGCTTACATATGTTCTACATCTACTACAAATTGGGAAAGAAACATCTAACATTGTCACGACCCTAAACCCAGATTCGGTCATAATGGCACCTTTCGTGAAGACAAGGCCAGCCGACACACTCCCAATTCATTTTTAAGTAATTAAATAATAAAAATCAAGTCTTTAACATAATAATAAAAATCCCAAAATAAGGTGAATAATACAGTTTGCGGAATAGACATAGCCCGACATTGGTGTGTCACTAGTCATGAGCATCTATCATAAAAACTACAAGTCTGAAAGAGTCTACTAAACTATTACATAACTAAAACAGGAGAAAATAAGATAGAGGGAGAAACACTGGGCTGCGAACGCCGAGCAGCTACTTAGTGAATCTCTGAAGTCTGCTGGAAGCTCTCAACTCTCGCAAGCAGGACCTGAAGCGCCTGAATCTGCACACGGGGTGCAGGGAGTAAAGTGAGTACTCCAACTCAGGGAGTAATAATAATAACTGAAGACTGCGCGATAATAAATCACGTAAAGGCACATTAACAGTCTATAAAGAAGTAGTGAAACTGTGAAAACATGTAAAGTCACCTTAGTTCAATTTAAGCTTCATTAAAATACATTTTTAACAGTTAAGCAAGTAAATGGCAGACAGCTAGAAAAGATAAACGCATAAAGAACCGCTAACTGGAACAAAAATGAATACCATTTAGACCCGTGGTGGAACAAAAATAAATACCAAAGATAAATACATTTAATGTAGCTACTGGTGGGCCTACATTTAATGACGTGTCATTTTTCTATTAGGCCACATGACAATCTCTAACTGGAACAAAAATGAATACCATTTAGACCCGCTTAGCTAACCCACCCAATGGCTTCCCGCATTTTTTTCGATCTTCGTCTTGATTTTCAAAAATCCATAGATCTGTGGGGTCCATCCCATCAATTAAGGAAGACTTTCTTCCTTTTGTTGATTGTTCAAAATTGACAGCAAATATTTTTCTTCTGCATTGTCAAAAAGGGTAGGCTGCAGAAGGAAAATGTTAAATGTAGTAGGCGTGAGAGAGAGAGGCAACACCTATAAAAGGAGAGCTTCAGCTCTCATTTCTATACACCAAAATCTCAGACAATACATCTGAGTGAGAGAGAGCAAGGTATTCCATAGACTATAAGAAAATAGTCTGTGAAGAAACATAGAGCGTGAGAGATATTGTAGTGAGCTGAAAAAAAAGAGTGTTTTTTCTTTTGAGGGTGTAGTGGTCTTAGAAGTATTTGTACTCGTTACTACACAATGTAAAATTCCTCGCTATAGTGATATCAGTTGCTCTTCTTGGCCGTGGTTTTTTCCCTTATTCAGAAGGGTTTCCATGTAAAATCTTGGTGTCATTATGTTGCATTTCTACTCTAGCTGATTTAACCATACCTTAGCGTTCCACATTTATCACTAATACCGTGAATAAAACATCAACCTGCCTTCACCACTATAAAGCCTGATAATAAATCAGATGAAGAGTGGAATTTGTTACATAGGCAGGTTTGCGGCTTTATTAGACAGTGGGTTGACAATAATGTTTTGAACCATATTTCTGGGGAGACACATGCTCGGACCCTATGGGAGCACCTTGAAAGTTTGTATGCTCGGAAAAATGAAAACAACAAGATGTTTCTGATAAAGCAGATGTTGGGTTTAAAATACCATGATGGTTCCGTGATGACAGATCATCTGAATAATTGTAACGACCCGATCGGTCGTTTTGAGCTCTAGCGCATCGTTCAGCGGTTTGAGGCCATGAACAGTATCACTTCAGGTATTATGACTTGTGCGCATAGTCGGAATTACATTTTGGGTAGTTCGGAGTTGATTTGGAAAGAGAATTCTCATTTCGGAAGCTTCAAATTGAAAGAATTTACTAAGACTGGATTTCAGAGTAAACGACCTCGGAATCGGGATCTAAAAGTTCTAGAAGGTTCGTATGATGATTTCGGACTTGGGCGTATGCCCGAATCAGGTTTTGGATGACCCGGAAGCATTTTGGCGCCTATTGTGAAAGTTAGCATTTTGGAAGAAATTTCATAAGTTTGGCTTGAAGTGTATTTCAGTGTTATCAATGTTCATTTGGGATTCCCGATCTGGGAGTAGCTCCATATGGTGATTCTAGAGTTGGGAGCGTGATCGGAAGTGAATTCGGAGATCCGTAGTTCATTTTGAAGTCATTTGGTTAAATATAGAAATTTGAAGGTTTTTGAGAAGTTTGACCGGAAGTGAAATTTTTGATATCGGGGTCAGATTCCAATTGGAGTAGGTCCGTAATATCAAATATGACTTGTGTGCAAAATTTGAGGTCAATCGGATATGATTTGATAGGTTTCAGCATCGAATATAGAAGTTTGAAATTCTAAAGTTCATAAAGCTTGGATTGGAGGTCGATTCGTGGTTTTAGCGTTGTTTGATATGATTTGAGGCCTCGAGCAAGTCCGTAATGTGTTTTGGGACTGGTAGGTATGATTGGTTGGGGTCCCGGGGGCCTCGGGTGGATTCCAGGTGGTTAACGGATCAAAAATGGAATTTCAGAAAGGTTGAAGTTGCTGGTATAATCGCACCTGCAAGGCAAGGGCCGCAGGTGCGGAGCCACATAAGCGGCCTTCGTGCCACAGAAGCAGAAATGGATGGCTAGGCTGGGACCGCAGATGTTGTCAGGTCACCGCAGAAGTGAGACCGCTCC